CTGTACACAGCAGCCTGATGTGTCAGGTCAGCGTCAGAAGCTGGGAGATCTGGCTTTGAGTCCTGGCTCCTGTGCTTGTACACCCATGACTTTCAGGTACATCTTACGCTTCCAGAACTGTTTTTCTATTGATAAGATGGAAATAACAACAGCCCCTTCCTTGCTGAGTTGCTGTGGGCATTTAATAAGATATACCTTTAAAACTTCATCAGCAGTGGGCTTACCATAGGAGCCACAAGATGGTTAGTAGTCAGATGTATATGCATATGGAAGGCAGTCTTGGGGTCCTGGCAGGAAAGGGTTTAAAGAAGGAAAGGCTGCTTTTGAAAAGAAGAGATTGGGGGCCCCAGGGTCTGTCTCTGACAGTCACACGTCCCTCCTCCTGCCTGTTTCATTTGTCTTCTACTTCAGAAGTAGATTTTGACTTCATTTGTCTTGGGGGGATTTTTTAAAATCATAAGCCAGAGTCACACTTTTGGAAGAGACCCAAGGGTCTGGCTCTAAGAGTTTCTGTCCCCCACCCCACCCCACATTGTCCTTTTGTAGGTGACTTTCCCAAACAACACGTATGCTTGAAACCTGTCTGAGAAAGGCATTTCCTGACATCAAGGTGCTCCATGTCAGGACTGAAATATGCTTTAAAGATTAGCTATCTAAATTTGATTTTCTGAAAGCATTGATAAGAAAACACCTTATTTATACTTCAGTGTTGGTCCAAGTAGCAGAAAGTAAATAACCTAGATAAATATCTGATATATTTCTTATTATTCTTAGGTCCCATTTGCCAGCTTGTAAACAAATAAATTGCAGGTATTCATCTCTCCTGTTGTCATGCTCTCCTCTGTCACTCCTCTACCTTTTCTCTTCTCCCCTTTCCCAGTGCTTCCTCTCTTTCCCTCAGATACCCTGTCTTTTCTTGTCTCTGCTTCCTTTCTCAGTCCTCTTCCCTTGACTGCATCACTTGCTCTTGGACAGATGCCCCCAGACCCTGCTGATACTGCCCTCTGTCCTGTTTCCTGGTTTGAAATCTTGCTGCAAGAGGATTTGGTCTGACCTGAGCTTCCTCTTCCAGCCCCCTCAGGGTGTAGTCAGTCACTGTGCTGAGTGCCTGAACCAGCCTTTAAGGAGGCAGAGAGACGTAGGTGTCACCACACCCACCACCTGACTGCTGGGTTGGGAGCAGAAGTTGCAGGTTTTCTGTGGTCCCTGACAGGCCACAGAGATTTAAATATGCCTGCTTTATTTCTTTTTATAATGGAGATGTTCTGGGAAAGTCAGACACAGCTATTGGGTATTGGATTTTACAAATCTTTTTCCTCCTTATCCTTCTGACCCTGATAAGTCACTTAAACTCCTAATGTCCTTCAATTTTTGCAGTTCTCATCAATAAAATGTGCTGCCCTGAGGATGCAGTTCAGTTTCTGGACTTCTCCCATGCTGGAGATGCGGGGTCTGGGGGTGGGGGTGCGGGGCAGTGTCCGGATCCATAAAAGAGAGAGCATTGACAGAAGAGCTTTTAATTTCTCCCTTCAGCCACAAATGCTGTGGGAAGCATCATGAATTCAAGCCGTAAAAAAATGATTGATGTAAACATGTGTGCTAAGTATTTTATATGTATATTTCAAATATGTATACTAGCCGAGAGCTAATACATTGGCTGATCTCATATTGAGCCTCAAACCCAAAAGCAGAAGGAACTTCATTATTAGAAGGGTAGTTATAAACTTGCCTCACCAGACCCACATGAAAAGTGTCATGACTGAAGCAGAGCTCAGACAGAAGGATCACACCAGTCACCATCATATACGTGTCCCTCCATCCAGTGATCAGTTGGTATGTGCACACGTGAAATACCACATGGCAGGGTTACTGAGCAAACCCCAGCTACACACTCACATACACACTGTGGAAAAATCTCACAAACATGGTATTACCTAGTGGAAGCCAGACACAAAATAGAGACTGCGACAGCATGAAGCTTCTGAGGTACTGCTAGAAGTCCAGGTGTATGACCTTCATAGCAAGGTGATTGATGGAAGGCAGATGATTATCATGATTATCATCCCTAGTTGATGATCACATAGGTACATTCATGATGTGAAAATTGCTTTGGCACTGCATTTGGAACGTATGCTGTTTTCTGTGCATTTGTTTTAACTTAAAATCATCAGAGCTTCTTGGCACCTTTGCAGTGTTCCAGCAATGATGGGGAACTGTAAAGAGCAAGTCATTGTTGTGACATCAGGAGCCTCTTCTGCCTCCGCCCTAGCCCAGTCCCTTGGTGTTATTGTTTACTAGAATTGGCTCAGCCTCCTCCAAGTGTATGGCTTTGGGTGCAGCCACAAAGGTCACACCTTGTCTTATAGACTTGAGGTCAGTACACAGAACACTTACCAGTCAGATACTTTCTTTGCCCCAAGGAAGCAGTCTCTGTAAAGGAAACCAAGCTTCTTGATATTCTTGCTAGGCAGAGATTGTTTTGCAAAAGAAAACTCTTCTGTAATGCTTAAAAGTGGCCAAATTAGATCTTTGTGTCCAGGGTTTCATCAAGGCATGCTAATGAGTTTCCTTAAAGAAGAAAGCTTTACTACAGCTGATTTATTGTTCTCTTTTAATGGCCATGCTCAGGCAAGGAAGGTGTCTTCAGTATTTCCTCCTTTTATTTATATTTTTAACTTCTCATTATACCTTTCAGGCTTTATTGGCCCTTTAAAAGGTCCTTACTGTGGGAACCAACTATCACAAATGTTGATCCAACATCTGCTCCCAGATTTAAACTGCCTCATAGTCTATCACAGTTCATCTTGAGGCGATTTTGTTGGAAACAGTAGTCTGCACATTAATGGTGCTCGTGGGGTTCCTGAAGCAGGAGCCAAAAAGACAACGCCTGTGCAGAACCCCCCTCCATCCTGCACTCAGCTGTGGAAGTCACAGCTCCATGCACAAGTGGGCAAGCTTCTCATCTTCCTTGTCCTACATCACCTCTCTCTGCTCCAGCAGAGACAATCCAGGGTACGTGTTCATTTCATCAAGGGCTTGACTGCTCAGGTACTGTGACAGTATTTGCTAGTAACCATGTATGATGGAATTCAGGTCTTTCTAGAGCTGACATCTTCAGGGTTCCCTGCCTTGGAGTATTGAAATGACAGTTTCCTTTTGCTCTCTGGTGCAAGTAAGTGCTAGGGTTAAGATCTACACTGGTCAGCAATTGGCTTTGATACTTTCTTACCTGTACCTGATTCCACTTTCAGGATCCTTTCTAGAGAGGCTACTGCAGAATAGCAAGTTAGAGATCTTAAGCCAGGAAAGCAGGCCTGAGTTAACAACTCTCCTCTTTTCTCATGATTACTAGCCTTTCTCTATAACCGCTTCCTCATAAAATGATTACAGTGTGTAATTCTAGGCAGACTTTGAGGACCATGTAAAATTAGGTGTCTTAGGAAATTTCTGGGAGTGATGCAAATATGTGTCATTGTAGTTTGGTGGTGGTTCCACATGGTTTAACACTCATCAGATTATACATTCAGAGAATGTGCAGTTTAAGGCCTATTTAAGACCTAGAGTGTAGGTCAGCATTAGAGCACTTGTCTGGCATGCGAGAGGCCCTGGGGTTGATCCTCAGCACTAAAAAATAAAGAACATGTTTATTGTGCATCTGTTTTACTTATATTAGATCTTTAGAAACTGTAAGTTATATAAATGTTATTAATAGTAATCCTTGCTACTTTTTGAAGGAAAGTAGCCATCAAACTCTCCTACACCAAGCGACTTTGTTCAGAAGGACATTTCAGGTCGTCAGTGGGTAGAGGTAGTTGACTCTACTCCCCTAGGGAAGGTTTCTAAGCTGGGCATGATTGACATTTGAGGCCAGATAATTCCTTGTGCTTCGGGCTGCTCTGTATGTTGCAGGATGTTGGTTGGACTTACTCTACACACACACACACACACACACACACACACAGTGTGGCAGTCAATATGTCTCCAAACAGTGCCTAATTTCCCCTGTGGGCAGAATCACCCTTGATTGGAGAACACCATTAGGCCAGGTTTCTTGAACAAAATTTTTTGTTAGTCACAATTCAGAATTATTATGTTTAATTTCTGAGTTGGTACCAAATGATTAATATTTTTTAAATGAACTGAGACAGTAATGAGGTTTTGGTCTGACCCCTTCCCTATGCTCCATTTTCTGTCATGGAGGAGATGCGCCTGCTCTAAACTGTGCACGGTATACTCCTGTGTCCCCTTCCTTTACTGCATCCCTCCAGCATTGGGACTGATTTCACACACACACACCTATCTCAGAGCCTAATCTTACACCCACTTTGCTTCTCGGTGCCATAAAAGGCAGAGGAGGAGAACGCTGTGGCAGGTGCCTGTGGGGAGGAGGGAGCAAGGATCCAGTGCAGTTCACCTAGAGAGAACTCAAACTCCTTTTTGCCCATGATTGTAGGATTTCCAAAATGATCTCTCAGTGTACGGAGCTGATCCTCCCTCTCCCATTTCTTTCCCATTGTTTTCTAAGAGTCAGACCAGACCCTGACTAAACAATTTTAAAGTGCCAGTGATTGGCATGTTTAGCGCTGCACAAATGGGCAGCCTTTTCTCTCTCTTTTAATCGTCATTCTATTTAATGAGTCATTTGAGGAGAGAGGAAATGACTTTTTAAGACCGGGACTAGTGACACTGTAGCTGCAAAGCCAGTCCCTTATGGTAGACATGAGGTGGCCTTGCCATGAACCAGGGCCCTGTGCCAAAGAGATTCTGCTGTGGAGATGGATGTGAGGGCTCTGTGCTCACCAGTGGCCTGATGGTGCTAAGGTGCTCGAGGACGTTCTTGCGACACCAGGCTTCCTCTAACGCAACCTCTCTGGTCTTGTTTATGAAATGAAGACATCCATCCAGGTCTCCCGGGGTGAGTTGTTTCCCCGCACTTTTTCTCCTCGACTCTACCCAGAAATACACCTTGACCGTGTTCCTTGCTCTTGTCTCCTCCTCAGAAATACCTCAGGGACTTTTTCAGTGTGATGCTGCAGTCGGCGACATCTCCCCTGCACATCAGCAAAGTGGGGCTGACCCTTTCGAAACACACCATCTGTGAGTTCTCACCATTCTTCAAGAAAGGAGTCTTTGACTACAGCAGCTATGGAACAGGGTAGAGCTGGGATGACAGGAGCCATCGACGCAGTGCCTTCTCATGGAAGCAGCTCTGATGCAGGAGCAGCAGCCGGGACACCTTGAATCATTCTATCCAGTGCCTGAGTCTGGCGGTGCCCTGACAGGCGGGCCGTGCCCCACTGCATGTGAACGTGGCCTTCCATCATGTTTCCTCCTGTCACGAGAGTCCCTCCAGATGCAGGAGGGAGGGGCCTGCTAGGCTCCAGCCCTATGCTGAGCAACCTGGGCCCCCAGAGCAGGTAGCTGGCCAGACCACCCCTAAGTGACTTTCATCCGGTTTCCTCCACCAAAATAGACTTTCCTTTTTTATATCCCTTCCATATGGCCGGCTGTATTCCAAGAGAAGCATTTTAAATTATGATTTTTTTCTTCTTATTTGGATCAGAACTTTTGTATAATACCGAAACACTGATGTTTACACAGAATTTCATATTCTGCAAAAGGGATTGTTGGTCCAATCATGACTAGAGTCTTCCATGCCTGACAAATTGGATGTAGGTGACATCGCTACACATAGGACATTGAATAGCCTTGAATACACAAGGACATATTCCCAAACCTCAGAGGCTGCTGTGCATTCTTAAGCTTTTTCTGCTAAGCACAAAACAAGTGCAAAACTGGATGCATATTTTTATGTTTTTGGTACCGGGATTGAACTCAGGACCTTGCACTTGTGAGGCAGGCGGTGGAACCACTGAGCTGCTAAATCCCCGGCCCTTGTATGGATATTTTAAAATATTATTTTCTTTACATTTTTGTTACAGAATCTACTGGATCTTAAGCTAAAATAGTAGAATTTACAGTTGTTTATTAATCCTTAAATTACTCAGGACTTAATGTAGCATCACACATCTATGTACAGTCAAGCTGCTTTGTTTTACTAAGAAAAATGTGAGTAAAAAATACCTATGATATATATTGAAATGTATATAATTCTACCTATAGATTTATATATGTACACACTCTTGTACAGTAGTCGTATGGAACTATATAATCACACCAAATTTATTAAACATATTTGCTTTTTTAAAATTTAAATTGAGCTGCTATCAATATTAAATGAAGTAATAGAATCTACCCTGTAGCTCAGTTTAAGTTTGTAACCCGATTGCTCCTACTGGTCTGTTTAAAAATTGATCTGCTGTGCTTGGAAAAATACATAATGTATAATTTAGCATTTGTGTTACAGAAGATGCAGTTACAGTAATGAATGAAGTCACAAATGAATGGTTAACAGAACATGCTTGGTTCAGTCTTTCAGAACATGCCTGCACAGCAGAGCTCTCCAACCTCAGAAATGTTTAAAGATGCAATTATCCCTATAAGGAGGAAATTATTATTGCACTAATTAAATATCATAGTTTAGCATGAAAAAAAAGAGGACTTTTTTTCCTTGCTCCAAAAAGACTTGCTTCTGTCTCCACTTGGTGATTACAGACATAGGTGGAAGAATAATTACTACCAAGAATTTAAAACTACAGATTAGAGGATAAAAGCTGGGAGATAATAGTTAACCATAGTTGTTTGTTTAAAAGGAGTCCAGGCACTAAAGACTGTCCCTCATTTGCTGAGTAAATGTTTTTCTCACTGGCAGATAACCTGTCTCTGCCCTTTTGAATGTATATGAGAGACTGGGCTCATAGCAAGCATTAGGCTAAAATCCCACAGGACACTCGGCAAGAAAAAATGGGCTTGAATCTATAAAAAGTATAATCAAAAGATCCTTCTATTCCAATCCCCACCTTAAGTAATTACAGCCAGGTTCGAACCTCAAGGACTAGCTGGCTCTGGTGACAGCTAACTATGACGTAAGTGAGACAGTTCACCTCTGTAGGCCTTGGTCTCCCTGCCTGAAGTGAAGCCATAGTGTGGGTGACCCCCAGGTCTGTGCTGCCCATGTGACAGAGGAAGAATAAATTTTGTCAGTAGGACTATAATGTTCCTCTTTCATACCTGTGAAATGCATACTTCTGGTCCATCTTACAGGTAGCTGAAGCCGATTAACGTGTGAAGGAAAGTTGAAAAGCAAACGATAAGTCACATCTAAACAAAAAATGGAATTCTTTTCTAGAATAAAGATAAATAACAGTTATGACAACATTGAAACTTCATTGATTTGGACTAACTTAAAGGAGTAAAAGAAAGTTAGCAAGTGTGTTATTACTGTACTTTCAAGTGCCTCAAATACCAAAATAATACCATGCTGAGCACCTCAGGGAATTCGGATTGACAAACTGTGATGGTTAATCTTGATTGTCAACTTGATTGGCTTGAAAATCACATAGGAGGCCCTGCAATTTAGCTCAGGGGTTTCGCTGCCTGCTGTGCAAGCCCAAGAACCTGAGTTCGATCCCCGGTACCAAAAAAAAAAAAAAGAAAGAAAATCACATAGGAGATTAAAGCACACTTCTGAATATTTCTGGGTCACTCATGGGAGCTTGACTGGTTACTCCATCTGGCCCCTGACTCCTCCTTCTCTGGCTCTCTTCCCCTGTGCTCTGCTTCCTAGCCACCATGCCCTTCCACCATGTGCTTCCACCATAATGTTCCTACCTTGAAGCCAGCTGACCATGGACTGAATTACCTGAAACCACAAACCAAATTAAACTTCTCCTCTCAGTTGTGTCATGTGTTTTATCCCAACAGCACAAAAGCTGATTCACACATAAGCTATCACCATAAACTTCTGTATTCAGCTGGACAAATCTAAGGACCTTAAACAGAATTCTTTCAAGTAGTTTTACCATTCCTATGTCTTGTTTATTAAATAAACAGGTAATATACAAATCTTGTTTAAAATCAAATAATTTAGTAACCTTTGGTCCTGTTCCCAATCAGACCTTTCTATTTCTGAATTAGATTCATATTCATCCCTTTGATTAATTTAAGAAGGTAATAGGGAGTAACCAAGTCTTTGTGGCTCACAAATGACGGACATGTAAGGGTCTCAGGTCCATGATGTACAGATGCTTTAAAGATACATGAACAGAATGCCTGCTCCCAAGTTTATTTCAATTCACATTTTGATGCAAATTGTTATTTTATGCAAATAAAAGCAAATTCGGGACAATTGGGTCTCTGACCTACCCATTCAGAGCTCTAGATGGCACATGCACCAAGTCTGGTAGAACACATGCCCAGAGGGGGAGGCCCACTCCAAGGGGCCACTGTACAGCTGTAGTTCCCAGCCTTCGCGGGTGGGGGCACTGGTGTTCTGGGTGACCCTGTTCCCGCAGTGAGCTGTGTGAGATGGAGAACAGAGTAGCGTTCCACTGTGATGGTGCCTTCTCAGGACTCATGTTCTGAGATTGCCAGGAGGCGAGCCTCATCCCCTCAGAGACATGCGCATAGCAGTTTAAGCCTAACAAGTGAGGGTGCTCAGGTACACCGGCTTCTAGCAGTGCTAAGTAGGTTTTCAAATGCAGTCTCCCGTACAGATGTTTAAAGCATTGCTTAGAGCGTGTGTGCAAGTGCATCCTCCTTCAACAACAGGCGCCTTCCACATGCAAGAAGATGGCTTGGTTATTTATTGTCTTACTTTTTTTCTTGTCTCTGTTGAGGCTGCTTTTGCTGATAATTCATTAGATAGAATATGATTCTGTGGTACAATATTTCCATGTTGTAAAACTACCTGCCATTATAAGTCTCCAATACATCCTACTTGAGATTGCTCCTAGAGTGCTGACCCCAGGATTTAAGAGGGGTGATGTTGCCGGTGGCCAGGTTGTTACCTCCAGAATGATTGCTCAGCAGCCCAGCAGAACCCTGCTAAAGTTTAAAATGGTGGGATGGACAGAAAGGCAGTTGGCTGAATTAGGATTCCAGGCTGAGTTCATCCTGTTTGCCTGCAGGAAGCCCTGCCCTGCACTTCTGCTTGAGACTCTGCTGCCAGCTTTGGTATAGCTCCCAAGGCCGTCCATGTGTCCCCAGAGGGCTCAGCTCTCCTCCCTCTGTCCCCTGTAAAGTGACTAAATACAAAATGCACTTCCTTTGACTATGCTTATTTTGTATCTCTTTATTTATTAATGGAATAATGAGTTCCTTCCAAGAATTACCTCTCCAGACACTTCTGTGGAAATTTGAGGTTCTTCAACTTGCTTTTGCATCTTCTCCATTACTGGAAACCAGCACCTTCCACATTCAGAGAGGCAAGTGGTTGTGTTTGCAGAAAGATGCACTGGCTTGCTCTCTCTCATTAAACATGGATAGAGGAAAGCACACCAGATACAGAATGGAAAAATGCATAAAAGAAAATGCAAAAAGCCCCCCAGAGTCCACTTCTGAGACTCTTTGGTAACATTAAGTGGGCCGCTGGAAAGAGGAAAACCTTTCTCTGGACTTTAAATCTGGAAAACGCATCCATGAAATGTACAGTTGAATGACCCCAGCCACTTGAAAACAGAATTATTTCCCTCAATTTATCAGGAATCCTTATGCACAGTTAATATTTGCAGCAGTGTTTGTTTTTCCAGTAGCATATAGAGTTGTGCCTGAGAGAGGCTTGCTGAAGAACAGCCTGAGGTTTGCTATTCCTGAGACTCCATCATCCCGTAGCACCTTGCTGCAGGAAGGCTGCCCGGAGCGGGGGTGGGGGTGGATACCAGAGAAGTGGGCTGCAGCTGCTCTTCAAAGCTGCCAGGATTCTTCAGAGAGAAGAATCCCAGTGAACAAGAATACCAGTTCGTGGTGATTAAGAGTTTCTTTGTTGTTGTTGTTTAATTTGCACTTTGGTTGATGTCTAAACTCTTGTTAGCTCTTCTTCTAAAATCAGAAGCTAGAATCCATGGAAAAGGAGAGGGTGGCCTGCTGTCCTAAATGATTTGGCTCGTGTTTTCTGCATGGTTTCAATGAATATAATAAGAACTGATCCACAGAGGGTGCGAGACTTCTCTTGCAAAGTAATTAAAATCTTGGCTATTTATCATTTACAAGTGAATGAGGAAGGTCACATTTAGATTTTCAAAGCATTTTCAGTCCTTTCTGATAATCGTGTCCCAGTCTAAGGACACAGCTCTCCCTGGGTGGCTTGGGCATGGAGTATTCCTGGGACACCTCATCCAGAGCTCAGTTTGAGATATATCCAGCACATGTGCAGCTCCAGTGGAAAAACTCTGGTGCCCGCCAGTGGCCCCAGCCACACACCACAGGCCTGGTTCCCATCAAGAGCCCTACTTTGTTGTTAATGGCAGAGCTAGGGACAGAGAAGAGCAATATTGAAGTATTTGAAGTATTTGAAGTTGGCCTTAGAAATTAAGTATGGATGGCCCTTGCCCCACTTGAAGTCACCCATATGAATTTGTGTCACAGCCACCTCCCCTGCCTCCTCCTGCTGTAAGGTGAAGGGTCAGACCAGACTCTGGCCATTGTTGTGGCTCTATTCCCACTGCTTGGTGTCAGAGACCTCACTGAGAGAGAGTGTGGCAGAGAATGGCTGGCCAGAGAGCTGGCTGTGTTCTCCTTAGTCCTTGCTGTTAGGAGCTGAATGCCCGTCTTTAGTATCCAACAACCACATCCAGTCATTTGATCCCTTTGCATGAGATGTGTATTTTCCATGTCCTGACAGAGCCAAGTACCAGGCACATAGTGATAAATAGGATGCCACAGGTCCTCTGTTGGCAGAGCACATTGCACTCAGCCTACTCAATAACAGAACAATTAGATGACTACAACTTGTGACCATTATCTGACAGGAAAGTTGAAGGCACTAGGAGAGCTTATTCTAGAGAAGCTAGAGCTTCCCTGGCAGGTGCCATCAAAGCTGAAGCCTGAAAGGTGAATGCTGGGCTGGCGGGTGGAGTGTCCCACATGGAGGAAAGACCTGACTGTTACTGCCAAGGTCACCTACATGAAGAGACTGTGAGGGGCTAGAGAGGGAGGGAGAGGCAGATAAAGGCCCCCTGAGAGGTGGTGATTGCCATTCTGTGGCAGTGACCATGTTTTCCCACTGACCACCTCCATTTCAGAAGTGTGTCCCTGAGGGAGGCAGACCAGAGCATGCGACAACCAGGGCTCGTGCTTTACAATCACATGCAATCCTTCCTAATCACATAGGGAGGGGAGCAGAGCTTAGATGCTTAGATGTCCTTAGGACTTAGATGTCCTGTGCTGTCTGCAAGTTGACTGTTCAGCTCCTATACTTGGATCCTGGTTGTGTTTGGGCTTCCAAAGTTTCAGAAGCTCTTGCCATTACTAGCCTTGGTCTTCTGGACCCTGTGATGTCCAGCTTCAGGTGTCTAATTTGTGTAATGTGGTAACCAGCAGCCATGTAAAAGGCCTGTGTTGGGTTCCTACCCAGTCCTTGCTTTATGAGCAGAAAAAATAAGTGTCCCCATGCAGACAAAACAGTCTTGGAGCTCTGCCAAGTTGTGGGCTCCGTGCATGACTTAGTAATCCACAATCCTACAGGGGCATCATGTCTTCTGTAAGCCGATTCCCCTGGTACCAAATCACCTGGCCCTGACACCTTATGAGCCTGAATATCATCATCATCACAATTTCCCGAAAACTAAATTAAAAGACTGCTTTGTTTTTAGCTTATATAGCATTGCCTATAAATTAATATGATTTGCATGTGTAGGGTCATCAGAAACAAAATGCTCAACTCATTTTGGGGTTAGAGAAAAGGCTCCACTGCAATAGACACAAAAAGCCTCTTAGCCACTCTGAGAATGTGGTTCAGTGAACTGTGTCCATTTCTGCTGATCATGTCGCTCATAGGCCAGCAGCCTCCCTGAGTCTCCAAAACATCTCAAAATGGAGCAGTTCTATAAATTCAGTGCTGTCCGTCAAAGGGTCTATTGTGTTCACACGTAAATTCACCAGACCATTTAGTGAACTAACTTTTCTTCTTGATGCAAGCAGGAAAAGTCATTGTTGGCCCCCATCAATGATAGCTTCACTAAGAGGGGATGGACCACCACTGGCTATGGCTGCTCCAGGGACAGTGTCCCATAAAAGCAGGATGCCCCAGGGGCCAGGACAGATGTCAGATGGGCAGGAGCAGGAGGCTGGAAGGTGGCCTGTAGTAGCCCCCGTGTTTCCCAAACAGCCAAGCCCATGCACCTTCCCTTAAATGCTGGGGACACTTGCACCTGCTCTTGCTCAAAATCCTTCTCAGCATCAGGAAGGGCACATGTATGATGGAGGTGGGGACCAGGCCTTCAAAAGCAGTCTGAGTAGCTCTGACCCTAATGCAAAGCAGAAGCCAGAGGCAGGAGGAGTGCCAGAAGGGCTCGTTTTGACATCAGGCGAAGTGCAACCCACCTCCATACACCGTCTTTCACACGTGGGCTGTGACCAGTCATGCGCTGGGCAGGTATCCTGACCAGCAGCCTCAAGGATCCACAGGGGTGGCAGGTGCCCTGTTTCCCAGAAAACTGCAGCTATTCTCCCACCAGGGGCCACGTCTGTTTTCACATCCTCTCTGCTCAGAAGCAAAATCGCCAACTCTTTCAGCAAACCTCATGGTAAAGCATCCATCACTGCAGATGGGAGTGAGCAGCATCCACATTAACCCCAGGTTATGCAGCCTTAAGGTGCTTTCCATACCTCCAAGGGAGTCTGTGTTGTTCAGAGCTACCAGGACAGGGACAGCAGCATTTCTTGCATTTTTTTCCTGT